TGCAGGAAACCGGCCAAGGGCACCGACGCAGAAGACTCTGCTGTTATCATTTTAGGAGAATGTGAATAATTCTCCCCACCCCCACCACCATCCTCCAATGATGGTAAGTTGATTAATATGCATGCATCTCAAAAAAAGGAAGGATTAAACTGGATGGTACAAGCTGTGTTTATTATAGTCTGGGACATAAAAAAAATGATTGGAAAACACTTGGGATTAGAACACACAATGTAAACAGCAAATATCGGTAAACAAAGTAGTCTGTGGCTACCAGAGGGGAATACATGAGGCTGTATGGCTGGAATACAGTGTGAGGGAAGCCACTCAACAGGAAGGCTTTGAATTGAGCATGAGAACCCCTGGCTAGAAGCACACACCAGTACTACTAACTCCCATCAGGGCAAGCCGTTATCTGTACTAACCTGGGCAGATCCAATCCCAAAGAACACAGGCTTCCTCTGCAGAATATGCCAGATCTCCTCAAAAAGAGAAAGTGGTCTGCAAGAACTGGGGAATAAGCACTGTGATACCACGAAGAAAGAAAGAATTTCAAACACAGTGTCACTAGGAATCACTGAAACCCATTTTACCATATTGAGAGAGAAAAATAAAAGGCAAAAGGAATCAGCATTTTCTAAAGAGGTCAGAGCTGCAAACACCATTTGTTCCCATAAGCAACATCAAGCACACCTTAGCAGTTTGCAAAATAGTGTTGATCTCAGGGCATGACTAGGAGGTTCACTTATGTCAAATTAGAGGCTAATTTGCAGTTTTTTATTCCAGAAGTGAAAGGAGCTTACTGCCCTCTGGTGGGTCACTGAAGAGGAAGCCTACTCCATGATGGGCCACCTGGGAGACTCCTGGATTTCCCTGTTCTCCCCAACAGGAGCTATTGTGGCCCTGAAGGCCCAACTGCTGAAGGTGCACTGAACTACTTAGCAATTTCTGTGTCCACAGCAGCAATGCCTCAGTGCAAGGAAAGATGTTGGTGAAAATTTGACTTCAAAACAATTGCTGGTTCATTTTACCCAACTTTCTNCCCTGCCAGGCCGGGGACCCCCGCCCGGGCCCCCTGGCCCTGGCCCTGGCCCCGGACTTACAGAGCGCTCCCGACCCGGTCCTCAAAAGGCCGGAGTCGTGTCGTCACCTGGACCCCTCAAGCCACCTCCTGGGTCTGCAGCTACTGTCTCCTTCTCCTTCACCCGCAACCTAGTTACGGTTGCCTCCCAAGCTCTGTCCCCATGACAACCGCCGCCGCCGCGGGCGACCGGCCGTAAAGGGAGGTCGGGGAGGCGGTCACGTGCCCAGAAAGCAGCCGCCAGCGGGGCCGGCACGCCCCCTGCCGACGGTGGGGCGAGCCGGGCGCGAAACTGGCTTCCCTCATCTCGCAGTCCCCCTTTTCTCATGATGCCAACGCCCGAGGAGCTGCAGCGGCCACTACTGGCAATTCTGACGTTCCGAAGGCTTGACAAGCTTCACTGAAGACGTATGAACTGTTTGATAAAATTCTCTTTGCCGAAAACTAGGTTTTCTAGGTTTCCTAGATGTCACTCACATCTGTCCTGCCTGCCTGTCTCCTCACCGGCTACTTCCTGTATGGAGAATTTTAGCTAGCCGGGATTAAATATTGTATAGGTTACATGATCTTGCTGTTTTTTATCACAAAACATTTCTGCAAAACCAGTTTGGTGAAATCTATTAGGGGCATCCACTTCAAAATGACTCTCAGCTAGAATCT